TATATAGAGGGAGTATTAGCACTGTGAGATCACAAAGTGAACATTAAGAAAGACAAAATGACAACCAAGAGGAACGGTTACCAACCGCGTGTTTTCTGTCCGGCCGATGACATAGAAGCAAGGCTCGCCCTGCTTCGAGTTAGTCATACAAAGAGATAAGCTGGAAAGCTCCACTGGAGGAGAGTTCAAGAGAGAGAAAGAGAGCGAAAGTATGAAGTTGTGAAAGACAGGAAGAGAAAGAAGTAAATCAAGAGGAAAAATCCAATGCAGAGTTGCAAAAAGTACAGTTAAGAAGCTAGAGGATTGAACTTATATCCTGAATGCTTTTGTAAAAGTCCTGAATGTCTGTCATCACCTTGTTTTTCTACCAAGTTTTTATGGACCAACGTATCATTTCAACATATGAGCTCCAAATATCCTCTTACCTGCCTATGGCCCTGACTAGAAGAATCTGATCTACAGATGTAAACCTGGTAACTATCAGAGGGAAGCAAAACTTTTGTAAAATATTTTGGCCATCGGTCGATTATTACTCTTACATAAACCTAAATTTCTCAAACCTTCTATTCCTATACATTACTCTTTTTCCCCTCACCATAATCTGGTACGTATCCATCGCCTTTCTTCAGTATGAGATGTATCCAGGCTCCTCCCTTTCGGATCTGCTCCACGGCCTGGCTGTGTGTCATCCCAGCTGTGCTGTCTCCATTAATCTTCACGAGCTGATCACTCACCTGCAATATGAGTCAGCAAAACCCTCTGTGACTCAGCGTAATGTCAACGACAGAACCTAATCCCAGCATGCCTCAGCATAATCTTCACAACATGACTCAGTGCTGCTCCTAGTGCTTGAGTCACACTTTCAAACATCCCTAACAGAATCAAGTGAAAGGTTTATTTATTGTTTCCCAATAAAATTTACTGTGTGTGAGAGTGTAAACTAACCTGCATTTTCTGACTGCGTGAGGCCGGTCCACCCTCCATTAGACCGAGCACATAGAGACCCATGTTATACTCGCTTCCACCTCGCAAACTAAAACCAAACCCTGTTGGCCCCCTTTCAAGATCAACGCTGTAATACTGGGAATCCTGGAAAGGGAGAGAGAGAGACAGTTTTAAGCAACTTTATGTGATGTAGGCAGGGTATGAAATAATGGAAAGTTGCAGATAACATGCTAACTAGTTTAAAGAGCATACTAATTCTTCTATAATTACTGTACATTACTATCACACTGTAGAAGCGTTTAAAATAAATAAGGCGTTCAGAAATGGTGGCTAGTTATAGAGATGCACTTTCCCTACACAGTTGTATGAATTTTAACCAAAAGTTTTGAGGTTGAAAGTAAAAAAAAGTCTATGGAACAAAATGCCTCCACAACCCAAGTAAATATGTATGTGTATTTCTGTATGCGCGTATGTAGTCTCACCTTTTGCTTAGCCCGATGCCCTTTTCTTAACCGACTCTCAGCATCAAAGTCAGGGTACTCAGGTAGATTATTGTCTGATGAAAAAATAGACACTCATGAGTTTAGACACACACCTTATTACTGTAACACTTATTTATTATCTTTACACCAGCACCCTCTTGTGCAAAATGTTAATGTAGCGGAAACAACATTACTTCAGAATATAATAAATAAAATATAACATAAATGTAATATTTAATTGAATTATTTAATAATTACTATATAAATATGCATGCATAAATTGTTAAATAATAATATCATTATTAAAAATAAACTTAATTTTTTATTTAAACAGTAAGTTTCTCAAGGCATTTTACAAAACAAATACCAAAATGTAAGCTATACACAATAAAAAGACAAGTGCGAATATACACTACCATTCAAACGTTTTGAAAGAAATTAAAGGGTTAGTTCACCCAAAAATGAAAATTCTGTCATTAATTACTCAACCTCGTGTTGTTCCAAACCCGTAAGACCTTCGTTCATCTTCGGAACACAATTTAACATATTTTTGATGAAATCTGAGGGCTCTCTGACCCTCCCATTGACAGCAAGGTAACTACCACGTTCAAGGTCCAGAAAAGTACCAAGATGATCGACAAAGTAGTCCGTGTGACATCAGTGGTTCAACAGTAAAGTTACGAAGCTACGAGAATACTTTTTTGCGAGAAAAAACAAAGAAGAAAACAAAAATAACGACTTTATTCCACATTCGCGTTCACGACAGTACCATGACGCGAGCGTGTGGTGGCACCGGCGCTAACCCAGATCCAGCGTAATCACGCCGGATCTGGGTCAGCGCCGCCACAAGCTCGCATCATGATACTGTCGTGAACGCGCATCCACAAGTGACACAGTAGAGACGAAAATGTGGAATAAAGTCGTTATTTTTGTTTTCTCGTAGCTTCGTAACTTTACAGTTGAACCACTGATGTCACACGGACTACTTTGTCGATCATCTTGGTACTTTTCTGGACCTTGAACTTGGTAGTTACCTTGCTGTCTATGGGAGGGTCAGAGAGCCCTCAGATTTCATCAAAAATATCTTAAATTGTGTTCCGAAGATGAATGAAGGTCCTACGGGTTTGGAACAACACAAGGGTGAGTAATTAATGACAGAATTTTCATTTATGGGTGAACTAACCCTTTAATACTTTAATTTAGTATGAATGGAGTAAATTAATCAAAAGTGACAAGTGAAGACTTACATTTCTATATCAAATAAATGCTGTTCTTTTTGAGCTCTCTAGTAGTAATCAAAGAATCCCGACAAAATGTATCTGCAGCAGATGTATATGCATATTTGAATCATATTAAGCAGCACAACTGTTCTCAATATTGATTTTCAAGGATGATTTCTGAAGGATCATGTGACACTGAAGACTGGAGTAATGGCCGCTCAAAAATCCTGCTTTGTCATCACAGGAATAAATTACATTAAAAAAATGTTAAATTTTAAATATGTTAAAATAAAAAAACAGGTATTTTAAAGTGTAATACTGCACAATATTATTGTTTTTACTGTATTTTTGATCAAATAATTGCAGCCTTGATGAGCAGAAGAGAATTCTTTAAAATAAATCTTATTCACCCCAAACTTTTGAACAGTAGTGTATGAACAAATATATCACCATTTAAAAACATACAATATAATTTAATTAGGAACTTTATATGAGTGTGGTGTGCTTACTAGTGTGAGAGCGTGGTATAATGGTGAGTCTGAGTGTGTTGCCGGCTCTGCGCAGTATCTGTGCGAGGTCTCTGTGAGGCAGCGTGACCACTGATCTGCCCTCCACGGCCTCCAGCTGATCCCCCGGCTGGATCTGACCACTGCGTGCTGCTGGGCTCCCCCGTCGCACCGTCACAAACCTGTGAGACACTAGAGACGAGGCTAAAGAGAAAAAAGAGACGGAAAGAAATATATTCATCCTCTCTTCCATGTAAATGAAACTAAATTCTTTCTACTTTAGAATGGGTCACTAAGTATTTTTTTTCCATTTGGTAAAGCATGATGTGACGATACAAAGGGGCACATTTCTAAATGAACTGCATGAATCACTGAATCAAAAGAAGATTATACAGCTGGCAGAACACTGAACAAATTCCTCACTTAAACTTTCACGTTTACATAACCATGGGGCATTCTGGACCACAGAAGTTCTGTGACCTTATTGCCAATCCTAGACACAGCCACATGATGATTCATTTAATTATTTAATAGATTATGTGCAAAAATAAGCAAATCTTAAAGCTTCAGGAGTTAAAATACAGCACAAATCATAGTTCACGCTACAGCTCTTAAAAGGGACAGTCCACCCAAAAATCTCAACCAGTTTTAAAAGTCATAAGGATGAGCAAATTATTATTTATAAAACGGATAGTTCCGGTCCTTGATTCTGATTGGTTGAGCTGCGTTCGAAGCTGTTGTAAATAGGGGTTATGCGCAACAGACTTCCGTATTCTGTTAACCGGGTCTCGTCGCTTCCGGTTCAAGCGTTTTGCATATGTTTAGTTAAATATGAAGCCGTTTTACTCAAGATGCCTTCAAAGTAGATACCAAAGATTATCATAGCCAATGTCCATCACATATGTGGAATGATTTTTTATTTGTATTTTTTTCACTAACATTTAAATAAAATTTTTTTTTATAAAACATCAACAATAAAAACAGCTAGCTAGTTTAACTGATTATCTTAAAAGTCCATAGATATTGCTATTATTTAATATGGCTGTTAACACGTTCTCCGACAAGCGGAAGCAATGAGACCTGTTCCCTTTCATGGGAACTTCGAACTGCGTTCTCTAGGGGTCGCTATGGGGAACGCCTCGTCGTGACCCGTGTCTGAAGCATACATTGGTCAGGCGCGTTCGAAGCTATACCCTATTACACTACAAACATACACCTTTGTTTACTTCTATGTGTTGCTTGGCAACCACTTTGTTGCAACCACAACTGTTTCTGAGGAACTACATTGTTTGGTGGAAGAATACTGTTTTTATTAATATCATTACACTTTATTTGCTCAGTTTTATTTTGTGAAACCTAACTACGTATATGGAATAACCGTTTTATAAAAGCAATAAGCCCCGTGAAGCTGTGGTTTACAGTGAATTTATAACAGCTAAGGGGCGTTGTTAGGCACGACGCGAAGTGGGGCTTATTGCTTTATTTTATTTTAAAACAATGTATTGAACTATTTCTTCCCACTCAACAATGACTACAAGTTTAATCAGTTCCTCACACGAAACTACCACATTCCTAAAAAAGTTCCACAGAAAAGAAAAATTTAAATAACATGAGGGAAAGTAAATAGTGACAAAGTTTATATTTTTTCATGAACTGTCGCTTTAAGCACTGAATACTGTGTTTTCAGTGTGCAAAATTAGTTTTGTAACTAAATTCCATAAGAAAGAATGTTAGATTCCAACAGGGATTGGAATCCAGATCTAACTAGGACTCACACCTCTGCATGAAAATAATAAACATTGTGTGTGCCATTGTTCATTTAAAAGTGTATTTTGACATGTTCTCTATCACACTAAAGGAAAAAAAAGCATTGTTCCATAGGTTTTCACATTCCACAAAGGAGTTTCCAAAACAAAAATCTTCTCAGAAAGGACACTTACTAGAATAAACTGTTCCACCTGCTAGTTACAAGAGGAGCCATCTTGACATTGAAATCCTATGCATAAATCATGTTTATTGTACACCTGTGTTTGTTTAATTATTGCCTTCTCTTCGGTCTGTCCCAAATTTCACTGTTGTTGTCCTTTGATGGGTCTGTCCTCACCCTGTGTAGCCTATTGTTTGTCAAAGACGCTTTGAGTATGATGTGTTTTGTTCCACTCCAACCTCATCTGTCCACATTATTCAGCCTTTCACTCTCGGCCAAACAAGACAACCTCTTGTTTGGCCGAGAGTGAAAGGCTGAATAATGTCGACTTGCCAAGATTGTAATCTCAAAGACCTGCGTACAATTACCCTGAGCACTCGCCCTCATGTTACACAGAGACAGTCAATTAAAGAAAGAAGAGCGAGACATAAAACATCAAACAGCAGACTGAAATACTGATCTGTTGCCTTAAGCATTCTGCTCCATATACGTCTTTGTTGAGATATGTTTCCGCAAGTGATGTGCGAATGAAAGGCACACAAATACACCAAATTTAGACTGACATGCAAGTTTTCATAAAAGAGAAAAGCAACCACCCCAAAAAGAGAAAGACAGAAAGAGGCTAAAGGATATGATTAAGAAAATAAGAACAGGAGCATGTTTTTTCACAGACAAGGGCCGTTATTTATCAAAGACGAGCAAAGAAATGTTCCTTAAATTATCCTGATTATGATTCTACTGAATGTGACCATTTATGTAAGATTTAAACAAAATGTTTTTGCTAGTGTTTAATGAATAAGGCCCAAGATTATTAAATAGACAATTGAAAGTAACAGACAAGTATGAATATTAAATTGAGAGAACTGTGATGAACCGGACGTACAAAAGATTTATACTACAAACAAATCCTGTATTCAGCAAAGAGCCCTGAAAAATGTATCAAAAATATTAAACAGCTGTTTTCAACATTGATAGAAGTAAGAAGAAATGTTTCTTGAGCACCAAATCTAGGCTACATATTACAATGATTTCTGAAGCATTATGTGACACTGAAGACTGGAGTAATTCAGTTTTGCCACTTAGGAATAGATTACATTTAAAATTGTTTATATTTTATTCAAAATTGTATTAACATTTCACAATATTAGAGTTTTTTTTACTATATTTTTGATCAAATAAATATAGCCATGGTGTGCATGGCTCACAGTTGTATTTGTCAGCATTTCCTAATCTAATGGCTCCTCAGCTCCTGTGGCATACCGTTTAGCGGGGAATTTTGCTTCTTTAGATACAGAGACATTCCCAAACACGCTCTTAGCACTGCCAGTATTGGCCAGTGAATCGACCTGTTTGTATTGATCGTGCACTTGTGTGGGGAAACAGTCAACAGCGCAGAACATGTCAAAAACGACAACAGGCCTGAAACAGTTACTGTTAGCCCTTTAAATGGTCCCATATGCAATCTAGGTCAAAGGTGACAGCTTAGAGCACCGTTTCAAGTATACAGGCTTGAAACTGTACAAACTTTTTGTACTTCGACATATGTGAATTGGGATTCTATGCATGGAAATCCACACATTGTAAACAGTACATTCGTACATATGTTTTCACTTTTTAATGCATAATTTTTTCTTCTTTTGCACCCTTTAATTTTTAAATCAACATGTAATTACTCTGTCTTCCAGTGAAACAACAGACTTGAAGAAATGTAGATTCTACATGTAGCATTTTCCATGCAATAACAATAAATGGGGACTGGAGCTTTTCAAGCTTCAAAAAAGACAAAATAACACCATAAAATATCATGAAAGCATAGTAAAAATTGTATAAAGTACTAAGTATGAAAGTATAGTCTATATGGCTCAAATGCTTTTGTTTGATGAACAGGCTAAATTTTAAGTTACTGCAGTGATTTTCAATGAATAACTGAAATGTTGGTCTTTCCTCACACAAAGCTATTTTATGACTTTATTTAGTGCATGAGTCACTTTTATTAATACTTTTATGGGGCTTTTTGATCATTTTAGTATTTTATTTTATTGAAAAGATTCATACTGTACAGTCTCCAAAAACTCCCCTTTTGTATTTCACAGAAGAAAGTCACTCATATGTACATAATATGGCTGAACTATTCATTTAAGGCAAGTCAGTTAACTTGGTAACGTCCTTGGGCAACTACAGTATTTTTTTATGTAGGCAAAAGCATATTGAATGTTAAAATTTCTCCCTTTTATTTTTCTACAAGTGGTCCGTCTCTGGTCATGATCACTGTAACAGATCCACAAAGTGGAAAATGAGAATACTGTTTGCTGAATAAATTGTGATCTTTTGTTTAATGAGACAATCCTGTGTGTGTAGAGAATCAGTAGAGCCCAGGTGAGAGTGTGTTCAGTGTCATGTGAAGCGTGTTGTGCTGGACGAGAATGTTCTCCCACGTACCACATCGTTAAGTGCTGCCAATTATTACCAAACCTACATTATTCATGAGTTTGTCTATTATTCATAACACATTGACGTTTTTCTGACCCAGCTGTCTGAAAGAAAGAGAAATGCTCTTTGGATTTGTAGTTACTGAACATCAAGAGTATTTTGGCTTCATGAAGGTATATGGTGTTTGTTACATAATCAGTTATCAAACACTGCCCATAATCCCATAAATCCACACTGTTATGAATGACACAGAAAGACATGCATGCCTTCTAAAGCTTATAACACAGTATAGTTGTCACGAATTCGGTCAATGGACTTCCGTTTATTCACCACCAGAGGTCACCCTTTCCATTACATTGACTCTCGCACAACACAAACTGTT